ATGCGGCGCCCGGGGAGACAGGGGCCCCCAATACCCTGCAGCGCCCACAGTGCAGACGGAGGGCCCCAATGCCGTGCAGTGCCCTCAGTGCAGACAGAGGAGTCCGACATCCCGCGGTGCCCACGGTGGAGACAGGCTGGTCTTCCGGAGTGCCTTGCGCACATTCCAACGTAAGGAAAGTTAGTGGCGCGAGCGGAGCCCCCGAATGGCACACGCAGCTCTGTGGCTGGCGGGGACCACGGGCCCGGCCCTCCGTGAGATCCAAGCGGTGCTGACCACACGTGGAGCTCCAGAGACCCCCACCCAGCGTCAGCAGACGTCATTACTTGGCAGACACAGCATAGGTTCAAGGCTGCTGACAAGGACACACAGGCTCAGCAGCGGCCTGTGTGTTGAGAAGCAGTCCCGTAGCCCCGCTCAGCCTGCGGGGGCCGGGGCACAGGGAGGCACTCACCCCACCCAGGAGCATGCGAACCTGGGGGAAGCGGGACACGCGGGGCACCTGGGCCGCACCCCACTGTCCTCGGGCGCCCCCAGGCCGTCACGGACGCCTCGGTCAGTGCAGTCTGCCGTGGCGGCCCGGCTGCGTCAGGCCCTGGCGCTGGCGACCGTGCCGCTGGCTCTGGCTCGCTGGCGGTCGTACCTCACGGACACGAGGAGGAAGAGCAGCAGCGTGGCCCCCTGCACGGCGGCCAGCAGAAGAGTAGTATTCAGGTGGCAGCCTTGATGTTGCCTGGGGGAGCGAGAGCAGGCGCGTGAGCGGCACCGCGGCGGCACCAAACCCCCGAGGACCCCCCTGGGTGGAGGAGGGTGGAGGGGGAGGGGCGCCCCCACGCCCCCAGGGCTGAAGAGGTGAGACCAGGGAAGCGGCAGCAGCGAGGCCGCCAGCAGCCGCGCTGGGCAGGACAGGAGTCACCCGTCCTTCCAGCCGGGCCGTGAGCCGACGGCAGGGAGGGGGCGGCCACGCCGGGCCCAGGGCCGACCTGTGACCCTCTGCGCCTCTTGGCAGCCCCAGGACGCGGCCACGCCGTCACCGACATGCAGGGCAGGCAGGGAGCCCGCGTCTGCTCTTCAGGGGTCCCCCAACAGCCCAGGTGTGCGGCCCAGGCTGACGTGGTGAGCACACCTGCACCGTTCCCAGACCCCGCGGAGGCCTGAGTGGTTAGGTCCCAGGAACGCCTGGGGGCGAGCGGGGCCACGGAGGGATAGGCGCAGTGGGCAGGCCACCATGCAGACGGCCTGGGGTGAGCACTCAGTTGGGGAAGAGGCGGGGCATCTGCAAGGCGCGGCCAGCAGGCGCTGCTGTAGCCCCCGTCTCTCCACAAGCACCGGCCCTGGCACACCAGCCTCTGGGCAGACACAGGAGCTCTTACACCTGACGCAGCTGGGACTGGCTGGCACCCCTGCCGGGGGCGAGCTCACAGAGCCAAGGCCAGTCTCTGGGGTAACAGCTCCACGCCCTCCGGCCTGGCCTGCTTCAAAAGGACTCTCCAGCGAGCTCAGGTAGGAACAGAGACTTCTTCTGGACACCAGCTTGTCCGGCAGCTGCCCGCCTTCCCCTGTCGGGGTGACGGCACAACCCCTTCCTGCATCTCGGGGCTGGAGAGTCCCTGACCACGCCCTGAATTCCCACCAGACTGAGGCCTGCTTCCCTCAGGGTGCCGTGAGCTACCACGTCCAGGCCGTCCTGGCACTGGGGGAGACGTGGCCCATTCCCACGGCCATCTTTGCTTCCAGTGTCAGCAGCTGACACCTCCGGGACAAGGCCATCACCAGGGCGTCGGTGATGTCGCGAAATACAAACAGCTCCAACAAGTGTCACTTAAAGCATCCAAACGCAACGCTGGCCGCCGAGTTAGATGGTCAGTGTGGTCACTTCTGCGGGTGACAGCGTCAGAGCCGCAGGAGGCACGCCCTGCACTGCCCTGCCCTGCCAGGCCGACTCGGCCGGGACCATGCGGGGTGCTCGAGACAGCTGGCACTGCGCCTCTGCACACAGCGGGAGGACAGGGCCCGCGAGAGAGGCGTCCACGTCCACACTGGTGCACGCGTGCTCAGGCTGGACATGGCACGGACGTCCTCTGTGCCACAAGGACCCTGGACAGCACCCAGAAACGAGAAACACCCAGGCAAAGCTCAGGCTGGCGCTGACTCGGGGGAGACGGCCACAGCAGCGCAGGAGATGGGTGGGGTGCCCCCTGGGGCGGGTGACCGAGAACAACCCCGAGGAAGGCTCTGGAATCCCTGTGGGCTTCACGGGGACCCGCATCCCATGCACACCCGAGCTCAGTGCGCAGCCGGCAGCAGAGTGGAGTTCCGACTGGAAGGGAAGTGACAATGGGGGGGACAATGGGGGCTGCTGGGACTTGGGCAGAGAAGGCCCTGGCCATGGCGACCTGGGGCTTCCCGGTGAGAACCAGCCACCTCACTTCACCCACGCAGGAACACGGAGGCAGCACAAGCCGTGGGGAGCAGGCACGGCACACAGGATCCTCCCCAGACTGTCCCGGGGCGGGGCTGCCTGTGGCGCCTCTCAGTGGCCTCTGGCCACGTTCCGGCCTTTGTTCCCCCAGGCAGCCAGCGGCTGCTCCTTAGGGCCCCGGCGCTCCTGGGGTGGTGCTCCAGCCCAGCCTGGTCGCGGCCGCGGGACTCGCAGTCTGCACAGAGGCCCTGAGCCTCACCACACCCTCACGGTTCCAGGACTCCAGCCAAGGACAACCGGCCCCGCTCGAACGCTGCGCTGCTGCACGGCGAGGGGCGCTGCGTTGGAGCTAGAACAAAGCAGCAGCCTGCGTGCCTGGCTCCCCCGGGCCTCCCGGACCTGCGGGGCAGTCGGGTCTCTGGTGGACAGCGTCCAACCCCTAAGCACCCTCACAGGACGTAATCGAAAAGCCCACCAGGCCTGCCCACGCGGAACACAACTCGCTGCCCAGCCGCGTGCTGCCTGGAAAAGCAACGCTGGACAAAGGCTGTGACCCACGTCCGCCGGCTCAGACGGCCTGGGGCCGAGGGCCTAAGGGAGCACAGGGCACGGGCAGGTGGGCGGGAGAGCCAGCCCCTGGGGTCGTGAGACCAGACACGCACTCATCTCCAGCCGCTGTGCGCATGGCGGCCATGATCTGGGGCTCCTGTGGGCCGCGGCTCTTACCGAAGTCCGTGTGGTTGCTCATCCATCCGATGGCCTTGACGGACACCAGCGCCAGCAGCCCTGAGCCCACAAAGGAGCCGACGCCAGAAAAGAAGAAGAAGAGCCCCATGATGGCGCTCTGCATGGACTTGGGGGCGGCCGAGTAGGCGAACTCAAGACCTGTGGAGACAGAGGGGCGGCCATGACGGCACTGTGGGCACGCCTGCCGCCACCCTGGCCACCCACAGACCCACGAGGGGCACCAGCCCCGGCTGCTCGGGGGATGGGGGCCCCCAGCGAGGGGCTCGCTCTCCAAACATGCCCTGAGACCCTCACCCAGTTCCCTGCTCGGACGCAGGGTCTCCTGGCCCCGCCCACAAACCCCTCCTGTCTCAGCAGCAGGGAGCCGGCCCGCAAGGACACGCTGGAAGAATCAGATCCGCGTCTACACAGACGTGCGGGGCCTGGCTGCGGGGACGCAGGCTCAGCCGCCACGTCCTTTCTCCGCGCTCTCCGCGGCACCTTGGGCAGTTAAGGAGCTTCCAGTGTCTGGGGGAATTCTGTTTCTTCCTCAAGAAAGGAGAGCCTTGGCCACACAGCACTCGCGTTCTAAACCACAAGAGGTCTCCGCCACTGCTGTCTGGGTGGACTGCAGCGTCCGCGGAAGACATGGCAGTGCCCACGGCCACGCCCACAGCCACCGGCTGGCCCCGCAGCCTACCTGCTATGCTGGCAATATCTCGCTGACCCCGATCAGCACGTACTGTGCACCTGCCACCAGATGGGCAGGTCGGCCGCGTGTATACCACGTTGCCGATGGTCTGGTTGATGGTCTTCTCCTTGACCAGGTCCAGTCTTTTACTTTCCAGAATTCCTGGAAATTCAGAAGTCGGTCAGTACGGAGTTTATTTGCTGCGTCTGAAAGCCACGTGCAAGGACGAGGTTCACCGGCCGCTTCCTGGAAACCCTGAGCGCGGCTCCCGGCCCTGCCTGCGCCTCTCTGGGTCTTACAGGAATCGCCGGGTCTCCAGCACACTTTGCTTCTCTGCAGAAAGTGGGGCAGGGGGAGTGCACGGCCGCCCTCCTGCGCAGGGCCGGCTCAGTCCGCTGATTGCATCACCGTTAAAATCACAACAGACCACAACCAAGCCGGCTTCCCGCCCGGGACGTGGCCTCCGCCACACCGAGCCGGGCCTCAGCGCCTCACCAGCTCGTGCGTGTGCACGTGCGCTCGTTTTCTAAATGTGCAGATTTACTAGAAAGGCAGACAGACTCACAGACGTCGCTCGTCCCCGAATGCCTCAGACAGCCAGGGCGGGGCCCGGAGCCGGGCACCCCAGCCTGGTCTCCCACGTGGGTGGCAGGGGCCCGGAGCCGGGCACCCCAGCCTGGTCTCCCACGTGGGTGGCAGGGGCCCGGAGCCGGGCACCCCAGCCTGGTCTCCCAGGTGGGTGGCAGGGGCCCAGCTCCGGGCAGCCCAGCCTGGTCTCCCACGTGGGTGGTAGGGGCCCAGCTCCGGGCACCCCAGCCTGGTCTCCCACGTGGGTGGCAGGGGCCCGGAGCCGGGCACCCCAGCCTGGTCTCCCACGTGGGTGGCAGGGGCCCGGAGCCGGGCACCCCAGCCTGGTCTCCCACGTGGGTGGCAGGGGCCCGGAGCCGGGCACCCCAGCCTGGTCTCCACGTGGGTGGCAGGGGCCCGGAGCCGGGCACCCCAGCCTGGTCCCCATGTGGGTGGCAGGGGCCCGGAGCCGGGCACCCCAGCCTGGTCTCCCAGGTGGTGGCAGGGGCCCAGCTCCGGGCCCCCACCTGGTCTCCCCACGTGGGTGGCAGGGGCCCAGCTCCGGGCACCCCAGCCTGGTCTCCCACATGGGTGGCAGGGCCCGGAGCCGGGCACCCCAGCCTGGTCTCCCACGTGGGTGGCAGGGGCCCGGAGCCGGGCACCCCAGCCTGGTCTCCCACGTGGGTGGCAGGGGCCCGGAGCCGGGCACCCCAGCCTGGTCTCCCACGTGGGTGGCAGGGGCCCAGCTCCGGGCACCCCAGCCTGGTCTCCCACGTGGGTGGCAGGGGCCCGGAGCCGGGCACCCCAGCCTGGTCTCCCACGTGGGTGGCAGGGGCCCGGAGCCGGGCACCCAGCCTGGTCTCCGATGTGGGTGGCAGGGGACCAGCTCCGGGCACCCCAGCCTGGTCTCCCACGTGGGTGGCAGGGCCCAGCTCCGGGCACCCCAGCCTGGTCTCCCACGTGGGTGGCAGGGCCTAGCTCCGGGCACCCGCTGCCTCGCAGGTGCCCATCAGCAGAGGCGGAGCTGGGGCTGAAACCCAGGCACCCGGGTGTGGGCTGGGCAAACCGTCGCAAGGAGAGACCCGAGATGCAGCGCACACGGATGCACAGGCATCTGCGGAGAAGCACTGAGAATGCTCCTTTTAAAACCCGAGTACGAAGGACCAGGACGCGCGTGCCAGGGACAGAAGCACCTGAGCCTGTGCCCACACCTCCAGCTGCCACGAACAGGCAAAGGGGAGCTGGGGCGGATGGAGCAGGGGCCACCAGCCAACGCCAGCAACACTGGCCACACCTCCGGGAAGCGGGCAGGGGACCGCAGCCCACCCGAGCGTGACGGACGGCACTCAGGGCTCAGGGGCGCGAGGGGCCGTGCACAGGGCCAGTCTTCCTCCTGGACAGGCAGGTGCCACAACACTGCACACCCACGGGGCGACCGCTGTGGCCTGCAGGCGACCCCTAGCCCCGTCTGGGAGCAGAGGCTGAGGCTGACCCAACGCCCTGCTCAGAGCAAAGGGAGAGTGTCCGGGACAGAGCGTGCGTGGGGTGGGGTGGGGGTGACAGAGCCTGGCTACCGGCCCCGCCCAGCGAAAAGCGGTCCAGTTTGGACAGAGCTCTGGGCCTGCGGGGGCCTGAGGGCGCTGGCTGAGGTACAGAATGAGAAAGGGCAGGGAGACCCTGCAGCCAGTAGCCGGCAGAGCCGGCGTGTACAGGCCACCATGAGAAGCCGGGAGAGGGGGAGGGACAGTGCAGGCCCCCGGGGACACGGGACCACCCACAGAATGCAGGTGCGTGGAACCCTCACAGCCACACTCACGGCACAAACACCGCACGGGAAAACCCACGCTGCAGGCATCAGCGCAGATGCGGCCCAGTCCTGTGAGAAGCCAAAAGACTGCAAAGCCCAACAAAACCGAAGACCGCAGAAGACCCACGGAGAGAGCATAACACAGAGGGCCTGTAACTCAGGAAGGACTGACAGGCCAGGGGCGTGGCCTCAGAGCCACACGGGGCTGAGTCTCACAGAGCCACATGGGGTCAGGGGACCAGCAGATGAAGATCTGTCTCTACTTTTTCTCTGTAACTTCAATAACTAAATAAATCTTAAACAGAAAGGAACTCCCATAAATCTCTTGAGAAAATGGACAAGAAAGGAAGAGCAGACCACTCGGCAGGTGTCTGACGGCCTCCCGAGGCCCTAGCCCACGCTCGCACAGGCTCCCTGGGGTAGGGGCACCTGCGGCTCCCTGTCATCTGCACTCTGGCCCTCCCTCCACCATGACAACACATGCAACTTTTACTATGCGTGGGTCAGGTTCTGTATCAGGCTCAAATCAGCTTACACAGGACTCTGCTTTGACAAAACCACAAAAGATGCACATGTATGTGGAGGCGTGTGCAGACACACACACACACACACACACACACACTCTCTCTCTCTCTCTCTCTCTCTCTCTCCAGGGAGACGGCCCCCACCCACTCCCTTCGTACTGGAGCACACGCACAGCTCTGAAGGCGACGAACGAACACACCTCAGTGCTTCCCACGCTCACCTGGGCCCGGGCCCGCCCACGTGTACCTGAGGCCCCCTGGGGAAAAGCTGCCCCCTAGGCACTGCCTACACAGGAGACTGGTTTATTACAGGTGCAGGTGGCCAGTGCAGGTAAAACTGTTTCTACTACAATGTTCCTTTCAAATAATGAGTTCAGGTTTCTACTCAAAGCCATCGACCTTCCTAAATTCCTAAAAGACATTCACTTAGAGCCGGTGAGGCTGGGAGACGCAGGCCGCTGACAACATGAAGCTCACGTCTGGGTTCGGGGCCTTCCCACTTGGCACAGACCAACACCCACAGACCACGTGCTGTAGGTTCTACACAGCTGGCCTGGACGTGCTCTTCACAGCTGCAGTGGTCCATGGCTGAGGTCACGGCCTCCCCACAGCCAGCCACAGTCACCACGGCGAGCAGCACCCAGGAGACCGGAGGTGGTGGCTTGACTCCAGGCCATGCCACACTGGGCCACCCAGAGCCTCGCAGGCACCTCTCAGAGGTGGAACCGGCCCCCACACAGACACACAGAGAAGCCCTGCAATGCCGCATGCGGCTCTCAGGACAGCCACAGAAGTGACTCAGCCACGAAGCATCTGCTAGAAACGCGCTGGGGAAACAAGGACATCTCTTACCCACTGCGAGAGAAAAGGCCCCCCCTTGCCACCCAGAAGGGCAGAGCAGCTGCCAGCAGTGCAGAGCCCCAGGGCGGGCGCCGTGGGGAAGCAGCACAGACAGACGGCACCGCTGGGTGCCTGCCCCCCCGGGGCCCCCCGACGCTGCTCCTCTAATCCCCCCAGTTCTGCAAGGCAAGCTGAGTTACAAAGGAAGCACACACATCCGGACAGGACCTCGCTTTAATTACGCCTGATCAAAGAAACACAACGGCCTTCCAGACAGCCATCTCGAGGGCCGGCCTTCCCAAGCCTAGGGACAGTCCTCAGACCTCCGGACAGGAGACGGCCACGTGTGCTGGGCACGAGCAGATGACGGCTCGGAAAGGCGCATCGTCCACGGACACGAGCCCGCTTCACGGCCAAGGCCTCCAGCTGCCGACCTGGGACACCGGCTCTCCTCTCCTCGTGTGCAACGCAACTACTGTATGTGAACAAGGGAAACGTTCCAACGCAAGCCGAGAAAGTTGGCCCCACCTCAGCTTCATCAGCAAGACAGACCACTAATACTGCAGCATGAAGACCCGTGACAACAGCGGAGCCCCTCGGAATGACAGCTCCTCTGCCAGCGTGTGGACCTGGTTTCTTAATTTGAAGGGCAGAGAGAACGAGACAGAGAAAGGTCTTCCATCCACTCTTCAGTCCCCAAATGCCTGCCACAGGCAGGGCGGGCCAGGTCTCAACCGAGGGTTCCCACGTGGCAGGCAGGGACCCAAGCACCTGGCATCACCCGCTGCCTCCCAGGGTGCCCAGCGCCAGGAAGCTCATCAGAGCGGAGCAGCTGGAACTTAACCCGCACTTAGACCCCTTGGACCAGGGGACGCGGTATCCCCGGCAGTCTGCACCGAACACCAGCAGCTTTTGGGGAAGGAGGAATACCGCCCACAAGCCTCTAGCAATCGGAAGGGATCTTTCTCCCCAGGAAATGCACACAAAATTCTATGTGCATTTTTGCCATGGCGCCCCCTCCTGGAGAAGTCCCGAGCACAGCCACAGCGCAGTCAGAGGGCAGAGACCCTCCCCCGAGACCCACCCAGAGGGCAGAGACGCTGCCCGAGACCCACCCAGAGGGCAGAGACACTCCTGAGACCCACCCAGAGGGCAGAGACCCTGCCTGAGACCCACCCAGAGGGCAGAGACCCTGCCCGAGACCCACCCAGAGGGCAGAGACCCTGCCCGAGACCCACCCAGAGGGCAGAGACCCTCCTGAGACCCACCCAGAGGGCAGAGACCCTGCCCGAGACCCACCCAGAGGGCAGAGACCCTGCCTGAGACCCACCCAGAGGGCAGAGACCCTGCCCGAGACCCACCCAGAGGGCAGAGACCCTCCTGAGACCCACCCAGAGGGCAGAGACCCTCCCCGAGACCCACCCAGAGGGCAGAGACCCTGCCCGACACCCACCCAGGCCTCGCTGTTGGGGGCACCTCTGGGCTTTCCTTCTGGAAGACGACGGGGGCCCGCTATGCACACCGAGTGCTAGCTCCGGGCAAGAGCGTGGCCCTAGACCGGGAGCTGCTCTCCCCACAGGCAGGCGACAGCGGGGGCCTCACCGGCGGCGAAGGCGGAGCACATGACGAAGAACATGCCCACGGCGATCCTCTTCAGCGAGGAGGGCAGCAGGCCGTGCCTGCGCAGCACCGGGTCCACCAGGCGGTCCTTGAGCGGGATGAGCAGCAGGATGAGCAGCGCGTCGAACATGGTGAGCCAGGCGGGCCGGGAACTGCGGGACACACGGGCACGCACGTCACCCCCACGCGGCACCCGGCACCACGGCGCTCCGCGTCGGCCTCTGTGTTTCTAGGCGCAGGGAGCACCCGCACACACGCTCATGACCACTTGGCTGACGTCCGTCAATCTGGCCCGAGTGACAGGACCAAAGGACAATGTCCCCTACAGCTCACGCCGCACTGGGGTGCGCCACGAGCCCCTGGGCGGGCAGAGCCGGGGCCCGCGCTTACCGTGTGGTGGGCGGTGGTGATACTCGAGATTTCTGGAATCCTCAAGTGAAGGCTCTGCAAGACATACGTTGTCTGCATCTGGGGACAAGACGCAGCCTCAGTGCGGTGGCCCGGCGCACCCACCCCCGGCGGTCAGGTCTGCACAGACCGTAAACGCCCCCACGGCAGTTCAGAACCAGAAACAACCTGCCAGCTACCCGGTGGGACTTTTAAGTCAACAAGGCCGGGAAACCGGGAGCACATCGTCTCCTTCTCGGTTAGGAAGGCTTTCAGAATTCTTAAAGCAGCCAAGGCGAGTGCGAGACCCCGGAGACGGGCGAGGGGAGGACTCGGGCAGGGCGCGGCTGCGCGGGAGGTGAGGGAGGAGGCCTGGCGGTCAGCACTCACTTGGAAATACACTGTCCAGTAAGGGATCAAAGGCCAAGAACACAGGGACAGTCTTGACCAGCGCCTTCACATCTTCCACTTTGTCTTCTGTGAACGGCCCCCCGTGAGACATCTTACATGAATCAAACAGACTTTGTTTAGAAGAGTGCTGAAAGACTCCAAGGCCTTCACTTTGGGAAATAAAATGAAGGAATTAGTTTTCTGCCGACCCAGCAAGCACGTACTGGTAACAAACTCAGCCAGGAGGTGGGAGACCAGCTCTCTGCCCTCCGTCCACCCTCACGCACCCTAGAACTGACTGCACACACCAGCGGAGACGCCCAGATCCTGCCTACACAGCGAGACACCCTCAGCTGCTGGTCCTGGGCACCGCGGCGGTTGTGCCTGCCCCGGGCCTGCAAATGACCCCGTGGCTGACAACGCCGGCGACACGGCGGGGTTCAAATCTGGGAACAACTGCGCTGGGTCCTTAGTTACTCTATCAAATACCAATGCTGTTTGTTAAATAACCGGAGCTGCTTTACTTTAAAAGCAGTCCTGGGTGTGCCTGAGGAAGGGCTCTGTGCTGGGGTGGGGGGAGGCCCAAGCGCCCACTCACTCGCCCAGACCACTGCCCAGGAGGCTGTAGGGCCTGCTGCACCTGGGTGAGGGGGCTGCGGGACCCCCTGCCCTCCCCCACCCACACTGGCCACAGCCCCTCGGGTGTTCCCAGCTCTCAGTCTGGGGCTGCCTGGTGGTGTAAGACGGGCAGGCGGCGTCAGATACCCCCAGGATCTTGCTCAACCCAGACGCTCTACAGAGGAACCTGCACAGACGAGACAGAAACGCCTGCACCTGCACCTGCTCAGGCAGCACCATCTCGACCGCTTCCCGCCCAGGACCCACACGCAAACACCGGCTTTCCAGTCCCTGGCCCTGCGTCCCCGTGCTGTGCTGACCTTTGACCTATGAAGCGGACACTTTCAATCTGCACTTTCCGAGAAGAGGGCGTACAACACCTAAAATCTACAGTGCAGTATTCCAGCCACATGAACGGGACAGGGTCTGGTACCCACCACCCACCTGCCCGCGCAGGGGTACAGGAGCACGTTCAGAGACCGTGGAGTCTGGTAGGGAACCAGCCAGCACGCTCGAGCCCACTCGCCCTGAAGCAATGACCTCTGCTTTCCAGAAGGGAGATTGCGAGTCCACAGGCACCCAGCAGGGTCCGCCACATGAACCACTCGCTTCTCTGAGGATGCTCGATCAAGTCACTCACACAGCGTGAACGCCCAGCCCACGCCACCGTCCCAGGGGCACAGGGTGCACAGGGACCTGCCGCTCCCTGCCGTGACAGCTCACTGCACAAGTCGCATACAGGAGCCGGCACTCCGCACACACCCAGCTGCGTCCTCGGTGAACGGGCCGTCCGCTCTCTCAAGCTCTCCATGGCAGGGGAGGCGGTGAGCAAGGAGCCTTCAGAACACGTGGACCCAGGCACCTGAGCCCTCGCCCAGCGCCAGGGCTCCGCCCATGGCCTGCAGCCTCCCCAGGAGCCCGTGAGATGGCTCCTTCTCTCCGTACACCAAGGCCACCAGCTGACTCGCAGCAAGAACAATGTTTGAGCGCCCCCAGCCGCCGGCTTCCACAAGCCAAGCCTCTCGTGTTCACTTCTGCCCAAAACCACTTCTGCAAACAAAGCCGAAGGGAGAGTAACACCAGGCCCCTGCCTGGCCGCGCGGCCTGGAAACTCCGAGGTGTGCAGGAAGAAGCGCTGCCGCGCCACAGGAGCCACCGGGCAGACATGGCTGCGTGCGGATGACGGGCGTTTCACCCACGCAGCGGACATCTGGGACACGAAGTCTGTTTCCATCCCATGGAAACGAGGCCATGGGCAGGCCCTCGCCTCGGGGTGAGCACGCGCCCGTCCTCCACTCGAGTCCTGGATCCTCGCCCGACCCCAGCTTCCCGCCAGTGCGTGCCCTGGGAGACGACAGCGGGCAACCCGAGCACGGCAGGGTTGGGGCCCGGGCTCCCCACGGTGGCATCTGGGGGTGAGCTCACAGACTGGAGCTCTCTCGGCCTGCCTCCCGCTCCCTCTCCAACCACACGACTAACAAAAAGGCCACGGCAAAGCTTGGCGTCACCGAGCGGTGCTGCCTCGGCTTCAGCTCGTCCTCAATGTGGCCCCAGGCTCTGTGGGGGCCACGGTGACCCGGCAGCACGCCTGTGTGCGGGAGAGAGGCCGTGCTCCAAGAGCCACTGTGGGCAGGTCCAGACCTGCCTGGGAGGACGCCGGCCGTTCACCACCGCGCCACGGCACAGGACGACAACCCCTGCGGAACAGGCCAGCAGCAACAGGGTGAGCTGCCCTCAGAGACAGGAGGCCCCAGAGGCCGCGTGACGGGCAGCATCCTGAGGTGGACCCAGACATCCCTCAGGGCTGACCACAAACAGCCTCTGTCCCCAACGCCGCAGCACACAGAGCTGCCCAGCGAGACGGGGGTGGGGGAGGGGTGACCACAGCAGGCCACACAGAGCTGCAGTGAGATGGGGGCAGGAGTCCAACTGACCACACCAGGTCACAGCTCAGCGAAGAGCCCCCCCAGGAACTGCTGTGGCCCGGCAGGTGCCCGTGGCAGGCTGTGGGAGACCTGCAGGGGCTGCCAGGACACAGGGCCTTCTGTCTCCAGACCCCGGCTCACAGGGCGTGAGCTGCCAGACCCGGAAAGTCCCACATGAACAGGGATGACTCTTCACTGTGTCACGTTCAAAAACTCTGCTACTGTGGCCCCCGAGAAGGGAGCCGAGCTGGACAGCAATGGCCAGGTTATGCAAACGCACCCAGAGCACAGACACACGCCAGGCTCGCCCCTGCCCCTCCACACCCTCTGTCCAACCTGCCACCACGCGGCCTGGCCAGGAAGTGCATGTGAGGTTAAAAGCCCAAACGGGGACTCTGAAGTGGGGCCGCCTGCACAGCCCAGGAGGGAGGCGGCAGCCGGGGCCCACACAAGCCCGCAGCGAGTGCCCACGAGCGCGGGCGGCGCCTCACAGAGTGAGCCCGAGCCAAGGACCAGGTACTCACCCGCTGCTCGGGCGCTCTCGCCGCCGCTTGCGGGAGCAGCAGGTGTAGGTCAGGATCCTGAACATGTCGGTGAAGGCGCTGCCGTCAGGCGGTTTGGTGACGAAGACGCTCTGGCCGCAGAGGAAGACCACGAGGGCCACGCCCACGCAGCTGGTGGGGATCAGGTAGCCGGCGACAAAGCTCACGTTCTGCTGGATGTAGGCAATGCCTCCCAAGGAGACGATGGCACCCAGATTAATGCTCCAATAGAACCAATTGAAAAACCTCCTCGTGGCTTCTGGGCCTCGGTCCTTAACCTAAAACAACGGGGGAGGAGAAGCCAGCTGAGAACCGGTGCCAGAATGCAGCAAACGCGACTTTCGCCGTGTGCACGGCCCTGCAGAAATGCGACACTGTCCAAATGGGAGAGCGTTCCGGGGTCTCCCAACAGAAAGCAGCGGCCGGGAGCTATGCTAATCCCACAACCCCGGGAGTCTGACAAACCACGTGGACCACCTGCCTCAGAGCCACCTGGACTGGCTGGAGAGCGCTCGTCTCGGGGCCTGGGCCCAGCACTTGCCAAGTGGCTTCCCCCGACGGGCGGGTCCAGAACCGCCACTCGGGGCGCCATGCCCTCCTGAGGGGAGTGGGAGGGGCGCCAGGCACAGTCCCCGAGAGGAACGCTGCCAGCATGGCACACACCCACGGCCCAGAGATCCCGGCCGTCTGATGGGAAGAGGAAGCGAAAGTGCGGGCTGTCTGCAGCCACCAGAGGCCGTCAGGCACCCAGGGGTTCCTGGAAGGCCCAGGTCACTGACCCCGGCTCAGGCCCTCCAGGAGTCCTATGTCGGAACGGACCCTGTGCCAGCCACGCCATCTCCAGCAGAGCCTGCTTCGTGAAAGGCTGGTGCCGGGTCTCCCGCAGACCGTCTGGCCGGGGCCCTGGGAACGTGGCCCAGCTCAGCGAGACGTCACAGGACTGCGGACTCCGGGTTCAGTAACAGCCGCAGGGCAGCCTCCTCACGGGGCACCAAGTTGTAAACGGGGCAAGACCACCAGTGCGGAGACTCAACAGGCCTCCGTTACTACTACTTCACATGCTATTTTAAGTTTTATTTTTTTGAGATTAAAGGTACAAAATACATTCTCAAAATGTTTTTTTGGGGGACCGGCATTGTGGTGCTGCCTGAGAAGCAGCATCCCATACAGGCACCAGTTAGCTCACGTCCCGGCTGCTCCACTTCCAATCCAGCTCTCAGCTATGGCCTAGGAAGGCAGTGGAAGATGCCCAGGTCCTTGGACTCCTGCACCCGCGTAGGAGACCAGATGAAGCTCCCGGCTTTGGCCTGGCCCAGCCCTGGCTTGAGGCCATTTGGGTGTGAACCAGCGGATGAAAGATCTTTCTTTCTGTATCTCCCTCTCTCTCTTTAACTCTTTCAAATAAATAAGTAAACCTTTTTTTTTTTTAAGCCCCAATGAGTAAGCACAGCCACTGTGCTGGCAAGAAACACGTCTGAATCAATGATACGGCCACAACCGTCTCAGATGGCAAATCTGAGTTTTCAATAAACCGCACGCTCTTGAGGCTGCGTCTTCCTGCACCCGCGGCAGTGCTGAGCAGACGTCCTGAGCAAACGCGGTCGCCGCCAGCGAGCGAGCAGACTGCACGGAGAACTCCCACCCTCCAGAGCCCAGCAAGGGCTCTGCCGTGGGCTGCCACGGCCAAAGGTCAGGAGACAGTGCGCACCAGCACTCCGGCCGCCCTCGACTCTGACCAGCAAGGAGAGATTACGAGAGCACGAAACCCGAAGTGTGACACACAGGTCACTGCTTTGACGAGTGAGGGGGAGGCCATGAGCACGGGGCACAGGCTGAATCAGAGCTGACCCATCAGCCGCTGACGTGCCGGGCCCAGCTCGCACCTTCACACCAAGCATCAGACACAGCCCCCGCTGGACTCCGCTGGCCGGTCCCAGGAGCAAGCCATCTCCCAAGGCCTAGCCAAGCACAGGCCAGCCAGCGGGGTCACAGGCGGGAAGTCGGCTGGTGGGCAGGGCCCCTGGCGGCCCCACGCCTCTCCTCGTGCACAGCTGCCACCCGTCCTGGACGGCGTCAACAGGCTTTGCCCGTGACCGAGCAGCGGACAGTTCCACAGCCAGCCTGCGGGAGACCAGCCACGAGCAGACCCGTGTGCAGCCAGGGAAACAGGCGGTCGGCTCGGAGAACTTCAAGTTCCCCGGCGTGCGACCTGTTTCCGTCCCTTCCATGCACGGCAAGGAGGTCTCCGTCTCAAACACTCAATCCACACGGCCCTCACAAAGCGGCCCCGGCTCCCGGCAGAGCAGACCCCCGCACTTCCAAAGCCGCCTGGGCCTCCTTCCCCGAACCGCAGAGCCACGCCAGAGGTTCCCCGCACTGGAGAGGTGACAGAGCCCTCGAAAGGCAGACCGTCCAGCCGCAAGGGCAGGGCAGGGCGGACCCTCCCCCGCGCTCCCTGGAGGAAGCAGAGCAGGCTCCACACGAGGCCTCTCTACGGGGCAGCCCTCGGGGACAAGGCCTGGCCTGCACACGCACCCTGGCCGGGGGAGCTCACTTTCCCCCACACGCCCTCTCGCTAACGGTGATTCACGTGCCCCCAGATTGCAGATATGGTCAGCGGTCCTCAGTGTCCAAAGCCGTGCAACTGTCCACTTCCGCAAGACTGCATCCCACCTACAGGAAGCCCTGCACCCTGCACCGTCACCCCACACCCCCTCCAGGCCCCTGCCACCACCAGGACATTCCAGGAACCACAATCAGACAAGGGAGACATTGTGCCTGGCATCCTTGTCTGTCTCCCAGGACAGACGTTGCACTGTGTGGGTGCCCTCTGTGTACCCACCCACGCCCAGCTGGCCGACAGCCCCCCCCTCTGTGTACCCACCCACGCCCAGCTGGCCCACAGCCCCCCCCTCTGTGTGCCCATCATCCACGCCCAGCTGGCCCACAGCCCCCCACCCTGTGTACCCATCACCCACGCCCAGCTGGCCGACAGCCCCCCGCTGTGTACCCATCCACACCCAGCTGGCCCACAGCCCCCCCCCTGTGTACCCATCATCCACACCCAGCTGGCCCACAGCCCCCCCTCTGTGTACCCATCATCCACACCCAGCTGGCCCACAGCCCCTCCCTCTGTGTACCCATCACCCACGCCCAGCTGGCTGACAGCCCCTCCCTCTGTGTACCCATCACCCACGCCCAGCTGGCTGACAGCCCCTCCCTCTGTGTACCCACCCACGCCCAGCTGGCCCACAGCACCCCCCTCTGTGTACCCATCATCCACACCCAGCTGGCCCACAGCCCCTTCTCTGTGTACCCATCACCCACACCCAGCTGGCCCACAGCCCCTCCCTCTGTGTACCCATCCACGCCCAGCTGGCCCACAGCCCCTCCCTCTGTGTACCCATCCACGCCCAGCTGGCCCACAGCCCCTCCCTCTGTGTACCCATCATCCACACCCAGCTGGCCCACAGCCCCCCCTCTGTGTACCCATCATCCACGCCCAGCTGGCCCACAGCCCCCCCCCCTGTGTACCCATCACCCACGCCCAGCTGGCCCACAGCCCTCCCTCTGTGTACTCACCCACGCCCAGCTGGCCCACAGGCCCCCCCTCTGTGTACCCATCATCCATGCCCAGCTGGCCCACAGCCCCCCCTCTGTGTACCCATCACCCACACCCAGCTGGCCCACAGCCCCCCCTCTGCGTACCCATCACCCACGCCCAGCTGGCCCACAGCCCCCCCTCTGCGTACCCATCACCCACGCCCAGCTGGCCCACAGCCCCCCCTCTGCGTACCCATCACCCACGCCCAGCTGGCCCACAGCCCCCCCTCTGTGTACCCATCACCCACACCCAGCTGGCCCACAGCCCCTCCCTCTGCATCCAGATCCTAGCTGGCCGACAGCCCCATGCTGAAATATTCCAAACTCACAGAAAAGTCGAAAGAATAAAAAAAGTGCATTTCTACACTCCTCACTTACATTCCTAGCTCTTCACCTGTAAGTAAAATGCTTCTGGCTGAACTACTTGAAGCCAAGTCGCATCAAGATAGTTCTACGCAAGATCAAATCAGGAATCCCCTCACGGCAAGCGCCTCCCTCTCTGACAATGCCGTCACACTACAAACCTAGAATCAGTGTCACTGACTGATCTACAGTCAACCACACTACAAACCTAGAATCAGTGTCACTGACTGATCTACAGCCGTCACACTACAAACCTAGAATCAGTGTCACTGACTGATCTACAGTCGACCACACTACAAACCTAGAATCAGTGTCACTGACTGATCTACAGCCGTCACACTACAAACCTAGAATCGGTGTCACTGACTGATCTACAGTCAACCACACTACAAACCTAGAATCGGTATCACTGACTGATCTACAGTCAACCACACTACAAACCTAGAATCAGTGTCACTGACTGATCTACAGCCGTCACACTACAAACCTAGAATCAGTGTCACTGACTGATCTACAGTCGAACCACCCGAGCTCCTACAAGCAAAGGCTTCAAGGCAATGGGTGGGCTAAGCCTCTGCCTGCAGTGCCGGCATCCCACACGGGTGCCAATTCAAGCCCCGGCTGCTCCACATCCACACAAGCTCTCTGCTGCGGCCTGGGAAAGCAGTGGAGGACGGCCCAAGTCCTTGGGTCCCCGCACCTGCGTGGGAGACTCGGAAGGAGCTCCTGGCTCCTGGCTTCAGATCAGCCCAGCTCCGGCCATTGCAGCCATTTGGAGAGTGAACCAGCGGATGGAAGACCCTTCTCTCCTCTGTAACTCTCTCAAATAAAATCTTAAAAAAAAAAAAAAAAAAAAAAAAAAACACACCAGTCTTAAAAGAAAAAAAAAAAAAGAAACAGCGGGGGCGCAACGCTGTCACACACTGTGAGTGGCAGCCACGTCTCCGCCTGCACACCCAGGAGGGCTCCGGCCGGTGACCCTGAAGCAGCACGGCTCCTGTCCACAGCAGAAGACAGACCACGAGCGAACATCCTGTCGGGTTTCAATGTCACCATGAAGGGAGCATTCGTGCACTACCCTACAAACAGGACCCCTGCTCTGTTATCAGGAAGACGGACGACCCCAGGACCCAAGCTGGCTGTGCTGGGTGCTCCCTGCGAAACGAGTTAAGGAAGCTCACAGCAGGGGCTGTAGACAACCGCTGACGTCACACGTCTGGTGTAGCCAGCTCTGTGACAGATGGAGGACTGTGTTCCTAGCCCTGGGCCTTGGCTGCTGATCAGAGAGTGAGCGAGCCAATGGCACCCGAGACCGGGCCCGTCCAACTACATGGACCACAGCAGAACATGCGCACGTCCCGCCTGGCTGGGTGCTGCGCCTCGCTGGACCACACACCACCCACGGGACGAGAACATGCCTGCTCTCTGTGCCTCCGTCAACTCCTCTGTGAGACTCCCGGGAGGTTCAAAGGAGGTCGGGGAGGGGAAGGACATGCAGTGTACAAAGAACACAGTGCAGAACGCAGTACAAAACTGTTACTTCGGCTGGCGCCATGGCTCATTAGGCTAATCCTCCGCCTGCGGTGCCGGCACCCTGGGTTCTAGTCCCGGTTGCCCCTCTTCCAGGCCAGCTCTCTGCTGTGGCCCCCGGGAAGGCAGTGGAGGATGGCCCAGGTGCTTGGGCCCTGCACCCGCGTGAGAGACCAGGAGGAAGCACCTGGCTCCTGGCTTCGGACTGGCGCAGCACCGGCCATAGCAGCCATTTGGGGGGTGAACCAACAGAAGGAAGACCTTTCTGTCTCTCTCTCTCTCTCTCTCACTAACTCTGCCTGTCAAAGAAAAAAAAAAGATAAAGAAAAACTGTTATTTCTCAAATCATTATGCGTCTCCTGGAGCCGGCATTGTGGCATAGCAGGCTAAGGCATTGGTTCACACCCTGGCTGCTCCACTTCTGATCCAGCTCCCTGCTAATGTACCTGCAAAAGTGCCCTAGGACAGCCCAAGCACTTGGGCCCCTGCACCATGTAGGAGACACAAATGAAGCTCCTGGCTCCTGGTTTTGGCCTGGCCCAGGGCTGGCCACCATGGCCATTTGAGGAATGAACCAGCAGACGGAGATCTGTCTGTCTCTCCCCCTCTCTGTGTAACTCTGCCTTTCAAAAATAAACAAACCTTTTTAAAGTGTGTAAGAAAACAGCTAAAATTCCAGGAGGCACTTGTGAACCCTGGTAGGTCGGGTCCCAGCTGTGCGACTCCAGGCAAACGATTAGGCTGCCAAGCCTGCCTCTTCACCTGTACGACGGCACCAACCACGCGGCCAGCACAGTGTCTGTGCACCGTGACCCCGGAGGCCCCCAGCTGCCACCCACGCCCTTCCCCACCTTGCGGTCCAGGCCCGTGGCACCTGGTAGACTCCCCCGCCACGCTCCCTACCTGGCCCATCCTCACAGCTCCGGGACCCAGGCTGCCCCACGCAGGGCCAGGAGCCGACGCCTCAGGTTCTGGCCTCTCCCACCTCCCAGTTCCCTGTCTGGTGGGGCAGCAATGGGCAGGTCCTGTTCCCTGGAGCTTGAGTTCTGTGTAACGTTCAACTGTCGGAATTCACGCTACGCGGCTGCAGCCATTTAAAAGAAACATCTGGTCTGTGGGTCCCCACAAACAGGAAGCAGCAGCAGAGGCCGCTGGCGGCCTGCGCAAGCCCGGGAAGCCTGCCCACAGTGTCCCGCACACACCCCTCGGGGGCAGCCCTGCCCACCTGCCCCTGCTTCCCGCGATTTTCTGGAAGGATCCAGCTTAGACACCTGCTGGCTGAGGGCAGAGCTGGGTGCTGTCACACGCGCTGCTCGGCCTCTCCCGTGACCCTCACCCCAGGCCCCCTCTAAAGCAGCCAAGACCTGCGTGTGTGTCCCCACCGCGCGCGGCCAGCGCCAGGGCCGCTGCACTCTCGCGCCCCTCGAATCCGGACCTGCTAGCCTTTGGTCCCCTCCAAGAACAGGAAGTCCCTTCTGTTTAAAGCCACAACCCCGACAGGACGCATCACTGCCCCGCTCCCATCACACCTGGCCCTACCGCCTTGGCCCTCCTGCTGGTGGGCCTCCCCAGGGGCAGGGTGCCCGCTCTCCTCGGGCGCCATGCAGGGGACCTGGGGTAGGGGTGCGTGCGGGTGGGCGGGGCGCGTGGCCTCCAGCTCTGGGCTTCTTCCCCGCACCCATGCCCCCCGCAGGCAGAGCGCCCGCTCTCCCTTCAGTCCCGTCCCGGGGACCTGGGATAGGGATAGGGATAGGGGTGCGTGCGGGTGGGCGGGGCGCGTGGCCTCCAGCTCTGGGCTTCTTCCCCGCACCCACGCCCCCCGCAGGCAGGGCGCTCGCTCTCCTTGGGCGCCGTCCAGGGGACCTGGGGTAGGGGTGCGTGCGGGTGGACGGGGCGCGTGGCCTCCAGCTCTGGGCTTCTTCCCCGCGCCCGCTCTCCCTTCGGTCCCGTCCCGGGGACCTGGGGCAGGGGCAGGGGCAGGTGCAGGTGGGCGGGGCGTGCAGCTCCCGGCTCCAGAGGCCGCCAGGAGCTGCGCCCAGGTGCGGGGGGCGCGCGGCTCACCTGGTCGGCGCCGAACGGCGTGATGTTGGCCTTGACCGTGGCCACGCCCAGGCCCACGAGCGCCAGCCCCGCGAAGGTGGCGGGCGCGCAGCGGCGCGCGGGGCCGTCGGCGTCGGCGAAGGCGGCGCTGCCGTTGGCCGCGGGCGCCGAGTCGTTGCGCGGCAGCGCCGGGCGCGGGGCCCCGCAGAGCGCGGCGCGCGTGGCGGGCGCGGCCAGCAGCGGGAAGGCCAGCATGCCCAGCAGGTAGAGCGCCAGGCTGAGCCCGATGGCGCGCGCCCGGCCGAGCCGCGCGTCGGCCAGCCAGCCGCCGAAGGGCGAGCCCAGGTAGGTGAGGCCCATGAAGAGCAGCAGCGCCTGGCTGGCCTGCGCGCCCTCCCAGCCGAACGGCGCGCCGTTGAGGAACAGCACCAGGTTGGCCGTGACGCCGTAGAAGGCGGCGCGCTCCAGCAGCTCGGTCAGCAGCACGGCCCCGCACGCCGCGCGCCGCCCCGCGAACGCGCCGCCCGCCGCCCGCCGCGCGCCCAGCAGCGGCGCCCGCTCGGCCGCGCCGCCCCCCGCGCCCTCCATGGCCGCCCGGCGGCTCCCCGGAAGCCGCGGTGGACGCCGCCGCCGCCGCCGCCGCCGCCCTTCTCGCGAGACCGCGCGGCCCCGCGCGGCCGCATTGGGCGCGCCCGCCGCCGCTCAGCCGCCTCGCCCGCCGCCACTTCCGGTCCCACCCCGGAAGCCGAGGGGCGGGGCCTCTGGGCGCTGCCGGGCCGGCTGTGGAGGCGGCGCCGCTCGGGGTCCCGGGGCGTCCCGGGGTGCTGCGTGCGGGGCACGGACGGCGCTGCTGGACGTCCAGCTGCGCCCCAGGCGTCCGTCTGCCGCCACCCGCACCCTGGGAGCGGTGTTCAGCACCCGGCGAATGCATGAACCCGCGGGTCGCCAGGGCTGCTTAGGGTCCCCTCCTCTCGCTCTCTCTGGGCTCCTGCAAAGCCCTGGGGTGCACTGGATTGTAAGTCACCGAGGGCAAAGTCCCAGGTTCCAGTCCCGGCTGCTCCACTTCTGCAGCTTCCTGCCGTGGCCCACGCGCGTGCGCCCCTGCCGCAGGGGACTCCTGAGCCCTGGCTTGGGCCTGGCCCTGACCCTGGCCTTTGCGGCCATTTGGGGAGTGACCAGCAGATGGGAGATGGATCTCTGTGGCTCTGCCTTTCAAATAAAATGAATCTTGAAAAAGACAGAGTTACGTCCAGTCGGCATCCATCAATAGGGATTCAGACTTGAAAGGGTCGCAACCAGTGCACCGGCCAGTGCTGCTTCTGGGTCCCCGCTGCTGGCTGAGACTGGACGGAGACTCTGAGTGTTTGTCCAAAGACCCAGCCCGGTCCCGCATAGAATCCAGGGTAAACCGGAGCCAGCAGGGCAAAGCTGTCCAACTGACTCGGGTCGCCAAGGGGCTGCGCGGTGCACAGGTGCCGTCTTGAATGACAGCAGATCCGTCCAATGGGGTTGTCTCGTCGGAGATGCAGGAGGGGAGGGGCGGTCAGGGCGCGCCCTGGGGAGTTTGGAGGGGTTGTGCCCGGCCCCTGGCCCGGGCCAGTGCTGTGGGGGGGCCGCTCTGGAGCTCAGTGACTGCTGGAAGTGACAGAGGTCGCCGACGTGATGGGCTGCGCGATCCGTGACGTTCCCACGAGCCCCTGAGTTGACCGAGTGGACACACTGCGACACTCACCGTGGTCACAGCGAAGCTGCTGGCAGGGGAAGGGAGGCCCGGCCTTAAAACGAGGCAGGACCGGGAGAGGTGGGGCTAGTGCTTGGCTGTTGACCCCCAGGCCACGAGGCTGGGCCTGTGACCTGCTCTGAGAGCACGTGGAGAGGTGTGCGGGGCCCCAGCGCGGAGCCCGCAGCCGCCACCCTGGGAATGCAGCTTCCTGGCGGGAGAGGCGACATGTTGACAGGGACCCCGGCCCACTGCCAGCCACCCGGAGACCCACCAGCGAGACGCCAGAACCTGCCCGGCTGAGCCGAGCCTCGGCCTCCCGGGGCCACAGGTTCCAGCTTACCTGACTCCTCCCTCTCTGTCTGTCTGTCTGTCTCTCTCCAGATCTGCAGCCAGCTGCGTGAGACTACTTGGACCTCAGCCAGCTCAAGTAAAAGGAAGCACCTGTCCCGTGAGCACTCCAGCACCATCTCAGGGCTCTGAGGCTGGCTGGGGGTAGCGGCTGCCACATGGGACAGCACGGAGCAGACCACAGCCTGGTCACAGAGCATCCGGTCGGGCCGCCTGGCTCCACACCGTAGTGTTCGTTGGGTGTGATGGACGGCTGCCCGACACCCACGCCCTCGCTCGCCTCCCCGCCGAGTGCCCACAGAGCTCAGGAGGGACTAACGGTAGCTGCTGGGCCTGTGCAGGCCCCGGGCCTCCTGCCAGTGACTGCTCAGGGGGACTGGCCCTGCGGTGGACAACTGACCCACCCCATGGAGACTTCTGAAGTGGGCAGACGCGAGGCGGGAAGCCTGCGGCCCACAGGCTCCTGGAGCCCTGCCCGGCCATGTGCTGAGCCAGTCCAGGGAGAGGTTAGATAAGGGGAGAGGGGACGGCGCTGTGGCGTTGTAGGTCAAGCCTCCGCCTGCATCCCATATGGGTGCTGGTCTGAGTCCTGGCTGCTCCACTTCCAATCCAGTTCCCTGCTAATGCGTCTGGGAAAGCATAGGTGATGGCCCCTGCACCCGCGAGGGAGACCTGGAAGAAGCTCCTGGCTCCTGGCTCCTGGCTCCTGGCTCCGGATAGGCCCAGCTCTGGCCGTTGCAGCCATCTGGAGAGTGAACCAGAGGATGGAGGCCCCTCTGGCTGTAACTCTGCCTTTTAAATAAATAAATAAATCTTAAACGATAAGGGGAGATAATGGACCCCACATTGTTTCAGCCTCAGCGTAGGGTTTTGTGAGGCTTTTAGCCAGAAGATGCCTATTGTGAGTCTGTTTAGAAAGTAAATTTAAAAATAAAGGAAACAAGGACAAGAGGGGGCAGCCTGTTTTTTGCCTCGTGCTCGGCCCCATTGCCGGGTGGGTTTTCTGCCTGTCTCTCCCGGGTTTGCAGCTCCCATGATTGCTCCCCTAGAGGACTGGGGAGAAATTCGCTCCAGACACCTGGGCCGCTTCACACACCTGCTGCTGAGTAGCCGGGAAGCTCTGCCTCGCAGCGACACAACCACGCTGGTGACCGTCTGCCTCCCACGGCAGCCCCTGGGGAGGCTGGCCCTGCCTCACAAGGGGTGGTTTCCAGGGAGGCCCTCCCCTGAGGCCCCTACCCTGTGGACGGAATGGAAATGTACTGCTTGGCCTGAACCCCCGGGGCTTCCACCTCCCTGTGGCGCAGGGAGAGGCTGCAAGGCGATGGCTTCAGGATGCAGCAGACGCGGGCGCTGCAGGGCCTCCCCATCCCCCGACTTCCCGCCAGGCGTCCGTGCCTCCCTGTCACCCCCGTTCAGCCTCAGCTTCCTCACAGCCTTCCAGCGGCAGGTGCACACCTGCCCCTGGGCATCCTGGCCACCAGCATTCTGGTTTCCTGCTGTGTGCATCACGCCACAGCGAGAGTCCTCAGCCACGGCCACGTCAGACACCCCGAGAGCTGTCATGAATTCCGTTTGTTTCACGGGACCACTGTGGCAGCCGTCCTCTCTGCTGCAGATCATCTCGCCAGAAGCAGAAGTGCAAGCGAAATGAATGGAAACAGCAGAGCGATGGGAAGGAGCCGGGGTTTACATTCTTGAGCCCAGACCGAAGCCACACACACACACACGCACACATGCATGCACACACATGCATACACACACGCACATGCACACACACGCACACACCTGCTTTGGGTGTGTCAGGCCGAGTTTCACGGCAGCTTTTCAACTACCCTTTGCCACAGCCCTGTTCCCTCTAGCCTCCCTCCTGGCTTGCGTCCCCTGCTGGTGTTTTCAAAGCCCAGGAGCTGCCTGCAGAAGTCGGGCGGTCACCAGTGGGAGGGGGAGGCACAGGGGGAACGAGAGCGGGAGGGAAACTGAACTCTGCTTCCTCCTACGGCAGGAAGGGCAAGCTGTCCTCACCGCTGTGTGGCCACGCCCAGCCTCTCCGTTCTAATGGCCGCTGGAACACCGCTGCGGGGGTGTCAGGGAGCTGGGCAGCACTGTGCACCTGTTCTTGCTTTAGGGGAGGCCTTGCAGGAAAGATCTCAGGACCTGAGGCCCACACATGTGGGCGGGAGGAGGCGGAGGGCCGGCTGAGTGGGTTTGGCTGGAGGCTGCAACCACACCCGGGGCCAGCAGGCGCCTGTTTGGCACCCACGTACATCCCACACGGAGCAGACAGCAAATGAAGAAATCAAAGAACGTGAAAGCGGCCAGAGGAAGCACCGGCCAGCACGAATCTCAGCGGGGGGCTCTCCTGCCTGAGCTGAATGCTGGACATGGAAGCCGTGAGGGAGAAGCGTAACTGATGTGGCCCCGTCAAGCCTGACCACTTCTGTGTAGAAAAATAGTGATTCCAGGGGCCGGCGCTGTGGCATACTGGGTAAAGCCGCCACCTGCAGTGCCAGCATCCCATATAGGCGCCAGTTCAACTCCCCACGGGTCCACTTCTGATTCAGCTCTCCGCTATGGCCTGGGAAAACAGTGGAAGATGCCCAAGTCCTCAGTTCCCTGCACCCACATGGGAGTCCCAGAAGAAGCTCCTGGCTTTGGATCAGCTCAGCTCTGGCCGATGCGGCCATCTGGGGAGTGAACCAGCGGATGGAAGCCCTCTCTCTCTGTCTCTACCTCTCTCTGTAACTCTCAAATAAATAAATCTTTCAAAAAAATATCGATTCCAGTTACCAGCAGAACGAGAAGCAAAGCCCCTGATGGGTCCAGCGTCCTTGCTCGAGAGTTCTCCATCCCACAGAGGGGCTCCGTGGCCGGCGAATCTGACTGCCACAGCGGAGGACTAGGCTCTCGGCGGACGGCCGCCATCCAGCCCTGCCCGGCAGCATCCGGGCCCCTGCTGGCAGCCGCACCTCAGGCTCCCCTCGGGAACCCACATGCCCGGTGCTTCTGGCGGGGCTGCTCCCAGAGTTGGCAGGTGGCCGAGCCTGCCCCATCAGCAGGAGCCCAGCCAGCCACAGAGCCTGGTTCAGGGATGGGCACGTGAGCCACGCTGGTCAGAGCTAATTCCGGAGCTTAATCTGGAAGGAGCGAGAAGTGACTCAAGGATGCCCATCTTGTGAAACCCCAGAATGAGCAGCCCACAAGCAGAGGAGAGACGGACTCCACCAACTTCTCTTTCCAGTAAACACAGGAGACTTTCTGTCTCTTGAATTTGAAAAAAATCCCAACAAAATACAAGCGAGACACATACCTGCATACACATGTGCCTGAAAGAAAATCAGAGGCCTTTCATGAATAGAAAAAGTCGAGTTACACTAGTAATTTAAACGTGGCATAAAGGAGCGCGTGTGAGTTTCACTTGGCCTGAAAAGCAGCCAGCGTTGGCACTGTTCTGGGAACAGTGAGTGGGACAAGCGTCCTGGAGGGTCGTCGTCGGTCATTTGCATCAGCCCCCCACTGGCCTACACTCTGCGTAATTCCCCTGCTAGG